TTTCTTAATCTAGATTTACTGAAAACTTGATCTGGTTGAAGTCCCAAATTGTGACCAGATAGTCATACTTTGTGTATCAGTTTGGTAGAATTCTTAATGTGTAGCTTTTAAATTAACACCTCACTGGCAGTCATTAAAATGTGATGCTGTAAACATGTAAGTCGTTTGCTTTCACCCGTGCCATAAAGAGAGTGACGTCATGGTGAAGGTACTGTGATGTTACAACTAACTGTTTCAGATTTGTGAATTAATGGATTAGTAATTGTATGAGAGGTTTACAGCATCCTCTAAGTTGTCAGTTTTCTGGTGTATACTGATCTTATAGTTAAAAAGAATGCTTTTAAGATGCAAGTACTTTTAAGGATAGAATTGAACATGTACTCACTTGTATAATTTATGAGTTCAGTAGAAAAAGTTACAAGAAAAAGTGTTTATGTTTTTGAGGTAGAAGAATTCTTACTGCTCGAGGTTAAAGGAAAGAAAACTAAGTTGAATTATATGAAGAATGTTCTGCTTCTGCATAAACTCATGAATCGTATCTCAGATTCTACACTGTGTTGGTACAGAGTTCAGTGTTGGCCAGTTCAGTTAAGAAGGCATAAAACTTTTAATATATTTATTGGATAAATAAAAAGCATAGTGATGCTTTTATGTGGTATCTTTTAGATCATGTTTCTCTTGAGCGAAAATATCACCATGTTTCCTATCCTGATCCCTTATCTAGTTGAGGTAGTTAATGGGCAGTTAGGATAGTAGCTAGGTGAGGATGGGATTTGGCAGCATATCTGACTAGTCAGTACACTTTTACCATTGGATGCTCTATTTTCAGGATTGAAAAACATTTTCAACTGGATATCCCAATTGATTTCATACATTGAGATCCTCACTTCATAATCTGAGATGCCTACTGTAGCAAGTTGAATTTCTTAGCAATAAGAAGTGTACATGTGTGTAAAACCAAATGAAGTATTTTGCAAGATCTGGAATTTACTGTTCTTATTTCACTTCTAGTTAAAATTTTGAGTATGTGTTAGTAAAATCATAGTGTTTGTGTTTGATGTCTGGGGCTGGCGCAGGAAAGAAAAGTTAAAATCCATTAGAGTTTAAAGCTTAGGATTTTTTTTTTTTCAGCATGTGTCAGACACTACCATTAGATTGCTTACTCCTTAATATACTAAATTGTTTTGTCTAGGAAAATAAACTTAAATATTCAATTTTTTCCTGGGGCTGGCGCAGGAAAGAAAAGTTAAAATCCATTAGAGTTTAAAGCTTAGGATTTTTTTTTTTCAGCATGTGTCAGACTACCATTAGATTGCTTACTCCTTAATATACTAAATTGTTTTGTCTAGGAAAATAAACTTAAATATTCAATTTTTTCCCCCAGCTTGTCAAGTAATTATGAAGCTCAAATGAAGAGTCTCTTAAGGATCGTGAGGATATTTTGCCATGTCTTTCGCATTGGCCCATCCTCTCCCAGTAATGGAAATGACATGGGCTACAATGGAAATAAAACTCCAAGAAGTCAGGTGTTCAAGGTCAGAAAAGTATATGATGTTGTTAGGAAGATAGACGTTAAAGAGATGAATTTCACAAAGCATGCATTCATTAATCAGACATCTCATGAACAGGAAGTAAGTTTGGTTGATGTCCCTATCCCTTCTTAAGTTAAGCCTACCTCTTTCTTCTCCTTAATGATTTTTTTTTTCCACTGGCTTCACTTGACCACTGATGCACATCTCATCTTTGATTTGATTTATGATTTCTGTTTATTTCTTGTTTAATGTATTGTTTATTAGATGTTGAAGGCTTAGTTACCAAGCTGATGTTGGTAAACTTTTTTATTTCTATTATTTTATTTAAGAATGTAGTAATCTCAAAACATGTTAATATTAATGTAATAGGTTGTATTAATGTAATTTCAAAATTATATTTGGAGAGTCACTGGGAATTCTGATCATTCAGTTTTATCCAGCTTCACAAGATAAATGGAAATAATTTAATTCTTAATCTGTTCATTGTTTTCACTGTGATTGTGAAGTTTTTTCCCAAGTTCATGAATTTTATTATTACATGCTTTGAAACATACCAGCTTACTAACCCCCTTGCAAGGTTACTGATTTACTGCTGTTTTCAAACAGTTGCTTTAAGTGCTTTCCATTTAGTTGTTTAATTCCTGGAGGTCTTTTTTTTATGCATGTTGGTTGTGGAATCCCTCTGCAGCAAACCATAGCTTGCCTTTCTCTAAAGCATTTCCAGCTTCCTGTGTGCCACTTGGTCTGCATTGGGGATATAGCTGACATACTGTTCAGAGCACCTAAATAATAACAACTGAAGGGTAGTCTCTCTGTCTCCCTCCATCCTCTTATATGGCACAGTTCAGATTGCCAAATTTAATGCCAGTGATTACATGAGAATTTTTCTTAATCTTCACATTTCTTTTAGGGTGTTCTGAAAATGGTATTTTGAAATTACTGTATTTATTTGATGATATGATGTCTTCATCAGGTTAATTCTCATGACTTCTAAGACAGAGCTATATTGATAAGGTAATGAAAATTGATACTCTAATTCTAGCTATTTTTAGTTAACTAGCTCAGTTTTTGTTTAAATTTCTTCTTTTGGAAAGATGGAAAGCATTAGACTATTTAGAAAACAAGCACAAATATGTGTTGTTTTAATAACAAATTGATTTATATAATGAATATAAAACTAGTGCTTGAGTATGAAAAATCCTGTGTGCAAAGTGTAGTGCATTGTACAGTATGCAATGTAGTAATTGTCCTTTAGAGCTGTTCACTAAAATATATTGAGCTAGATTGGCACGTTGTGAGTTTAACCAGATTTCCATTTTCAAAAAACAAAGCCCTACCCAGATCACAAGAATAATTTCATTAAAGACAGTATTTTCTAACAGTTTTAGTGAAAACTGGTTTAAATATACCAGATGAAATAACAAGCAGATGTTAAGTACAGGAACTATCTGCAGTGAGATATTCTGTTACCTGTCTGTGTAGATATTCTGCTGCCTCTTTTTCTTCAAGGTTTTAGGAGTAACTGACCTAACTTCATTACTTTCCTAACTTTCCTAATTTCTTTTGTGTTTGCTTTTAGTCCAAAAAGGGGAGGGGGGAAAAAAAAGTTTCACGCTTTTCAACTCCAGATCATTTTAGAACTCATTATAAAACAAACAAAAACATTCAATTGCAATTTGTGAAGGAAATCATATTTCAGCAGAATCACTTATCTGTGTGCCCAAACTACTTTGAATGCTGAAAGAATTGTTTCTCGATTTTCTATGGAGTTAAATCTTTTGCAGTAGTCTTATATTACACAGCTGGCATGGTTGTCACAGAAAATGTCAGTAAGTCTTAACTGTATAAAAATAGCATTTATGTATTTTCATAAATGAGCAAAATATATGCTACTGTTGCATTAGCTAACAGAACAAACATTTCAGAATGATTTAAAAATTATTTTTATTATTTTAATTTAGTTATTTTGGAAGCATTAAAACAGGCAGCCCTTCATTAGGGCCACTGTTGTCTTCATGATATCTTTAAGGTTGATTTAAATTTCAAACTCAAAAATACAAAGCTGCTGATGAGGACTTTTGGGATTGGGCACACTGGTTTGGCAATACTAAATTAGTCTTCAGTGGCTGGATTAGCCTATTCTTCCCTGAATTTATGGTGACTGGTTAGTGGGAGATGATACATAGTGCTGAGTCAGTTGGATGCCTTTCTGTTCTGTCTTATTCCTACCTTCCCTTTCCTTTTTCTTTTTTGTCCTTTCCTTGAGAATGCAGTTGTGATGATCCCTTTTGAGAGAAGGGAAAAAGCTCCCTGTGCCTCTAGCTTATTACAATGGTATGGAGGCTACTTGAAGACCTGGCAGTTGTGTCTTCATTGGTACCAGTACTTGTTTGTGGGACATGCAGATCAGTGGATCAGAACTCCTTTTCTGGTTTCTGTTTTATTTGAGTTTTCTTGAATATAGGCTTTGCAGCTGTTTAGCACAGACTACTAAGGAAGCCATAGAGATTGCTGCTCCAAAATGGGAGTTAAATCTGTATTAAAAAAGTCAACATAGAACTTAGTGATTTTAAATTTGAGATCCATATTGAAAATTTTAGAGGAATTTTAGTGGCTTACATTGGAATTTGCTACCGATCTTAAAATTAAGTTGTGGGGATAAATGTCATAGATAATTTGAATTTTGATACAGGTTTTGTGGGGAAAACAAGTCTCTTGGACTGCTTGTTAATGTCACATGTGAAGTCTTGAGTACTTTCCAGAGCATGAGAAAGTGCTACAGGTCACCACCCACTTATTTGAATGCTGTTTGTTTGTGCGAGCGAAGACCTCTAGGTATTGTCTTCCTTTACTATATAGGAAGCTAATCTGTTGTTCAATGCTACCGTCTTTCAAGAATAGACCTAGGAACTTTTATCAGGGGAGGACTGAGGGTAGCAATGGCTGCAGTTCTGTCTTGTGGGTTATGCAGAGGAACATTATTGGGCCTTATTGCATGGTCTAAGGGACTGTTTCTATAAGGGACTGTTTGCTTTCCTTCTGAATGCACTTCTGTTAGGTCCAAATAGATCTGTAGCTGATGACTTTTAAAGATGTACTTCATAACTCCTTTTTAAAAGCTGGTGCAAAAACGTATTTTATCCAGTATAAGAAATGAAGAAAACCTTTCTTCTGACTTTTTTTCTTAATGCTGTGTTAAGGTTTTCATTATTAGTACAGTGATTGAACATATTTTGAAGAGTTGTCACTGTGATCTAGCTTGGAAGGGATTGAAAATGTGAGTATATCTTCATCTGAGGCTACTGAGGAATGTTATTGCTTGACGAGGACAAGAAAATCTCAGGGTCATCTTTGCTTTACTGAAGTTCCTTGTATGTAATTCATTACAGGCCTGGTCAAATTAAGCCTGTCCAAATGCTTTGAAGTGGAAACACTAGCTGATTACGACACACTCTGATACTGGTATTGCAAGAAACAAAATAGTCATTGTATTGCAACACCTGAACTTGGAACATGCTACTGCTAACTCAAATGAGATCCTAACAGTGAGTGACTTTATGAATAGTAATTTTGTCCAGGATTACATTCATTACTTTTTCATGTATCTCTCTTGCAATTGCTGTTCAGTACAATCACATACTAGGGAAACTGGCTGCAAGATCTCCTTGTCTAGCTGAACAAAGTTGGGAAGCCCATAACATTTTTCTCTCATTTCAGATATTATTCTTTTCTAGAATTGAATTGACTTGTCTGCTATGACACAGTCACTTTGTGGATAAGTGATCTCCTGCTCCCTATGTCTTAAAAGACTAACTATCTGTCACATGGCAAAAGATTTTGCTCCAATGTTGCAGTTTGAATATGGGGTTGATTTCTAGTGTCTTGCATTCTAGATGGGTAAAGAGGAAGGCGTTGCATAGCTAAACCCTTGCATTTGAGAGATGAGGTGTGCAGCTGTAAAAGCTTGGTACTAAATTGGACTCAGATGTATAATTCCAAGGAGACTTTTCTGAAATGTGAGATGAAAACTGAAGGTTGAGTGGAGGTTTGTGTTTAATATGCAGTTCACGGTAAGAATCCGCTGAAGAGTAGTGACTTGTAGTTTTGAAAAAATGATGTTAATGGTTTGATTTAATATGTCCGTATTACGCTTGAAAAGGTCTGATCATGGATGCTAACATAAAATGGTGACAGCTATGGGTATGGAGGTGGTTGGCAATATTTAGAGGAGTGCTTTATGTCCTGAAGTTAGACTAGAAAAAAAGAAAGTGAAATGTTGAAGTCACTATGCTTGACTACACTTTGGATGAGTTTGTGGTCAGAATCTGTGGGAAAAAAACAGCTTTGGAAAAACAGTTACAAGAGTTTTGAAAGGCATGCTGAGTCTGTGGGAAATAAAAGATAAAACACAAGATACCAGTGGAAAAATGGTGTCTGGCAAACAAAACATTGAGAAGTTTGGGAGAAGAAAACTACATTTTAGTATTCTGGTAGATAACTACCTAGTTTCTCATGAGTCACATGTTAAGAACACAGCTGCATTTTAATTTTTCCATGTATTAAATGAATCCTATTTTTCATTAGAAAGTTTTTCTATGTTATGTTTTGTGGTGAAGGTCTGCCAGGTAGGTCTTGTAAAGAAGCAAACTTGATCCTGTATGTGATCCTGTATGGCAGAGATTTATGTAGAATATGGTACCTACACTGGAGGTGTATTCAGATCGTCATCTAGAGAAATGTCTGGTCACCGGGAGTACAAGGATTCAAGTGAATGTCATACAGTATGTTGAGCAAAGCCTACCAGTCTTAGAGATCAGGCTGCAGTTCCTCAGAATTCTTACTGGGAAAAAATGGATACATAATGTTAGATTTTTTTTTTTTTTTTAATGGTAAATTTCAACAGAATTTATTAATACACAGCTTTTATGAGAAGTAATTTATTGTGTATTGAGAACATATTGCTATGAGGTGTACTGACAAGGCTTCAGATAGTGTAGACTTCTGTCACAGTGTGCTGTGGGTAGCTCTTAATTTTTAAAGGCAACTTTAGAAGATGAAAACATAACTTTTGGTGTCTGCTAAGTCTTTGAATGCTTTAATTGCTGAAAAACCTTGATGCAGTTGTAATATATGCATATGTTGATGCAATTGAAAAAGGAGTGCATTTTGGAATGCTGAAAGACTCAAGTCAGAATTGCCTCCCTGTAGGATAAGTGTCCCGGTGCTCACTAGAATGTATGCTTGTGAAACATCCCCTTAAACATCATTAAGGGACAGCACAGTCAGCTCTTGTGGTGTTTTTGGGGGATTTTTTTTGTGTGGTTTATTTTGTTTAGTTTTGTTTTAAATGCTCATGAGAAAGCCACAGATCTCTCGGCCCTTTCTCTCCTTGGTAGTAGGCCTGCACCTCGGAGCAAGTGTGTAATGATGGAATTGTACCAGGTTTCAATTATAGTGGTTTTAAGCTGGTGGTAGTAGATAAAGAGTGACTTTGTTAAAATAAAATAGAATGTATAGCTTTAAAAATGAATATGTGATTCTGCTGATACTTGTTTCTATTTCATAAAGCTGCATACTAGTGACCCTTACTCTTGAGGCATCTGGGGTACTATCAAAATGAGCTGTACGAGTTCATACTCTGCATAAAGCACATCTTGCTAGATAAGTGCATGAGTCTGAATCTCAGTGGTGTTGTCTGGGGTTTGCTCCATCTACCTGGCAGAGGGAGCTTCTTTGACCAGGACCTTAAAAAAGAACTGACATGCTCCTGCTCTGGAAACTCAACACATGTATTATTGTCTGTTGTCACAGTAGTGTACTGTGGAACAACTGCAAGGCCAAACTCTGTTCATTAGTTCAGTG